TTGAAAGAAAGGCAGTGTCAAAATTGGTTTGCCAAATTTTGTTCTGGTGATTTTTCACTGAAAAATGCGCAACGACCTGGCCGTCCAGTTGAAGTTGATGAGACCCATATCAAGGCCATTATCAATTCAGATCGTCATAGCACAACACGTGAGATTGCAGAGAAGCTCAATGTATCGCATACATGCATTCAAAAAAATTTGCAAAAATTTTGAATTTTCCTTCTTATTTAAAATCCGCAATCACTTAGTTGCCAACTCAATATAACACAAATAGCACAACGGAACGGCTCGAGAGAAGAACGCGTCCGTACAGCTAGACAGCTGGCTCCAAACTCAGCTGACAGTCGTTGTTTATAAACAATCTTCCTGCCGACGGGATCCGGACAACGGCAGGGCCGTAACGACTTGGGTGCGCGCGTAACACTGCCCCTCCTCTTCAAGATTGTCGTCCCGACAATCAGCAAGGAGCTTGACGACCATTGTGGACTTCCAGGGACCCCGAACAATATCCTGCTCTCCCTGAGCTGCTGCTCCCGGTTACCGAGCATCATTCCGGTCAGGCCCCAATCCACCGGGCAGGCCCCTAATCGATTCCTTCCAGAGAGCTGGCCAGGCTCTCAAGACTCGACTCCAGGGCAGCCTCCCTTTCCAGCCGTCCTCTTGTTTCCGGCGCGAATCTTTTTCAGTCCTTCTCCTCCCGTGACTATCTTCGAACAAGAGGGGGGGTATCTACCGTGGACCTGTCATCCCCAAAGGACTCCCCAAGTTCCTGCCTCGGCATTCGTCCTCCGGTCCACGGGAAAACCACGGCTCAAAAATCGTGGGCGAGGCAGTTTTCTCTTTGGAAATACTCGTTATTCAACTACCATCTCACGACTCGTGTCAGCTCTTCTTTTCCGGGAACACTCCTGTTAAATAAAGAAACAAGAAAACGCAATAACAGAGAAAAATTAACTTAATTCCTATCTTAATTACTATTACGGGCTCCAAGCTATTTCTCTTTCTATTCTATTGCCTCTCAGAAAAGGGCGCTAGCCTTTCCGCATGGACGATCTTCCTCTTATGCCTAACGGATTTCTGAATACAGAACACCACATCGCTTAACTTTTTCACTACTTCAAAAGGACCTAACCTTCCCAATTAGATTGAAGTTTGGGAGCTCTTTCCTTAATTCTTCAAGGATTATAAAATCACACCTTCTTCCCCTCTTGGAAAAGAATTTGTCTGGCATTGCGATCATACCAGCTCTTCATTCGAGAAAATTTCATGTCCATTTGCCCTTTAACTTCCGAATGGATTCTATTCAATTTCTCTCTTAGATTTGAAGCAAAATCAGCTTCGGATTGAGATTCCTCCCTTGGTAGACTTCCCAGGAGTAGATCTAAGGGTAATCTAAGATCACGACCCAAATACAGCTCGACAGGAGTAAAACCAGTGGTTTCATGTCTAGAAGATCTGTAAGCCAACAAGAACATGGGAATCCAACTATCCCAGTCTCTTTGGTTTTCTGAAATAAATTTGGATAAATAATTAATAATGGTTAAATGCTGACGCTCTACCTGACCATCCGATTGGGGATGTAAAGCAGTCGTCCTCGTCTTTTTAATTCCAAGAAGATTCATTAACTCCGCGAACAACTTAGATTCGAAATTCTTTCCTTGATCCGTATGGATTTCTCGAGGGATTCCATGTCTAGAAACTATCTGGTTGACAAAGACTTCTGCCACCGTTTTCGCCTTGAAATTCTTCAGAGGGAAAGCCTCCACCCATTTGGTGTTTTCCCTCTTATACCCCTTTTTCTTTCCGTTTTCTTCCTCCTTACTCTTTTTTTCATGAGTTCGCGCGTCCCCCTTTCCTTTTTCAAAATGCCTTTCGTAATCTTTTTTCCTCTCAAAATTTTCTCCCTGAATTATCTTTACGGCCTTCGCCCTTTCTACAGCTAATTTTAGAGAAGTTATTCCTTCTAACTGAAGGGTCCTCCTCACAAATCCGTCGAGAAGCGACGAAACAAATTGTGCGCAAGCAATTTTATCCCGCACCGCGAATGAGCATTCGGGGTAGGCCAAACGAGCAAGCCTCTCTAACTCCGAACCGAAAGTTGCGAAATCCTCCCCGAATTTCTGTTTTCTGTTTGTGAATTGCGTATAACAATTCTGAGACAATTGCCCCTTGCCAAAACGCAATTCAAGCTTGGATTTTAGTTCCTCAAAAGAACAAGTCTTCAAATCCTCCATAGATTCCAAAACTGAGCGCGCCTTTCCCCTTAAACATGATGCTAACACAACGGTCTTCGTCGCGTCATCCCAACGATTCGCGCGCGCAATCAGGGAGAATTGCGAGAAAAATTCAACGAAACCGTCCCATCGAATGTATCCGGCTTTAGCTTAAAACCGATCTCATTTCGAGTCTCCGAGTCGCGACTTTCCCGAGACTCCGATCTAAACTCGGAAGGACTTAGCTGTGTGGAAGGCTGTAGCCGGATCCCCCGAAGAAGCTGGATTTCCTCGTCGTGTCGGCGCAGCATCGGCGATCTCCTCCTCACATCGCGCCTGCTCCTCGCGCATCCGCCGTATCTCCAGCAGGACAGTGTGCAGAGTGGAAGACTCCGTCGTCGCCGTTTTCATCACCGCTGTCTCTGTCGCCGCTGCCTCCGGCGCCCGCGGTTCCGTCGCCCGCGCTTCCGAGGGTGACTCGTACAATTCGTACTTCCTCCTTTTTACGGCTATTGTCGCCATCACTCTTTCACAGTTGTCGGTCTCTTTTCACACAATTATCCGTCTAGTCCGGTCGATCCCGGACGAGCCCCCAAAATGTTGCATCCGCGGCGAGGACTTCGATAGATATCGAAGCCGCGCACGAAGAGATCGACTGCTCGCGAGACGCGCGAAATAAATAACCACTTTTAAAAGGAACTAGGAACTTTAATGCACAACACAGAACACAAACGTTAACATAAATAACACGGAATTATAACACAAATAGCACAACGGAACGGCTCGAGAGAAGAACGCGTCATCACAGCTAGATAGCTGGCTCCAAACTCAGCTGACAGTCGTTGTTTATAAACAATCTTCCTGCCGACGGGATCCGGACAACGGCAGGACCGTAACGACTCGGGCGCGCGCGTAACAATATATGTGTGTGTGTGCGCGTGTGGGTGTGTGTGGGTATGAGTGTGTGTATGTATAGACGCATATATGTACAAAAGATGCGAGAATTACGTGAAGAAGCAAGAAGGTAATAAGAATGAGAAAAATAATAAGAGCGAACGAGAAATAGCACGAGCAACGAGAACTCGAACTCGAAAATCGGATCCTTCTTTCACACTAATATTTTCCTCCCGTTCACATCTATTACTGTCTCGCTTGCTCTTATTATTGTCTCGCTCGTATCTATTACTGTCTTGCTCGCTCTCGATTCTTGGGTCCGCTTATCTTTTCGAGCTGTCTATCACGATTGTCAAGTGTGACGGAGAAAGCAAGATCATGAGTAGAGAGCGAGCGAGATAATCTATCATCAAATAATTCCGAAAGCTCTTACAATCGGTTTCTTCGCTTCCTTTATCCATTTGCAATTCACGAAAATGTAAACATCTTATGAAATAAAAATTAAAACTTTTATTTTTAATTTCATCGATTTGAAAATAATTTCAACGAATTAATGAGATTTTTGCGATTAAAATGATCAAACACGGCGTAAATCGAGTAATTTTTAATTAAAAAATCAAGAAACAATCAAAAGTAGTTTAAGGCTCAGTGTATAAGAAATAAAAACCAAAAATGTTACGGGTCAGTGAGCCAGAATCGCGTGTCGTGTGGCGACAAACTCAAAATATCACCTATACGTCATTATGGCAAGGATGGAAAATGTCACCAAATTAGCGTATGTATTAAGTGAGAATTTATTAACAAACGTTTCTGCCCATATCGGGCTTTCTTCAGTGAAAACAGTAAAATGAGAGATGACGATAAACGACAAAGTTGATTAGAATCGTAGTCGGAGACATACAAATTAATATATAAAATCGCAAGTGTGAGGTAAAACCGACGAAATCAAAAATCTGCGTACGCATGCAGATAAGGCGCTCGCAAAATTCATAATAGAGAGAAGGTTGTATGTATAAAAATATATAATTCGTTTGTAGACAAAAACGCTCAAAAAATAATAATAATAAATAATAAATGTCGCAAATTGAAGAATTGTTATACAGAAAACGCTAGTATGAAACATATTACAGGGCTCTAAGAATTGTAACAGTTCTGCGTACATGTGTAGAAATGATGCTCACCTTCGTTGTTGGAATGTATATAAGAAAAGACCGTTCCACGAAACGAAAACAAGGAAAAACCCAGGAGATCTCGTCTTCCGATGTAATAAGAATATTATATAGTGTAAACCTGGTAAACCTCGTAGGTGATCTGTAATAATTATAAACCAGAAGGAGCAACAAGTCTCGCACATATAACCACAGAAGTGGTAAAAAATTTAAAAGATTAAAAGAAACATACAAAAAGCATGATATACAGTTACACATGGAAATAAATTATGTTATGAGTAGATAGTCAACGAATTTTGAAAAATAGAGCTAGAAAAAACCAGTTATAAAAGATTGACAATATTCAAACAAAAGATTATAATCGAAATAATAAAGTGAAAAATATTATTAAAGTATTAAAATGGTTATGATCTCGCAAAAAGATTAGAAAAGATAGATAGAGACAAGAAAAATAGTTATAGCGCTCACCAAGATTATTAATAAAAGCTGATATGGAAAGCAGAAGAAATGCGGAGAGTCGAAATAAAGCGTGTCGATAGATCGCAAGTTCGCAACGTAATGAGACGTGCGTGCCGAGATCTCACAGCTGGCTGTTGGTAAGGGGTGGGTAGAGTGAACGCGGGTGGAAGTGGGTGGGAGACCGAGGGAACGGGGAAGCGGGGAGAGGAGGGGTGGGTAAAGGAACCGTATAGAGGAAAAGAAATACAAAATTAAATTAAGTTAATTATGAAAGGGAAAAAGCATTGATTCTTTTAAGGATGGGAAAGTAAGATTTATTCAATTTATCGATGTCGTCCTTAACGTTAATACTGTGGGCTTGTTCTTTAATATGTAATGTTTCTGAAATTAGTCTCTTAATATAATGTGGCTCATTATCCAATATAGAGACATTCTGCCAGTCAAATTCATGCCCAAATAATCTGTGTTCAGACACTACAGTTAAATTAGCCGAGGGATTGTCAATGTTCGATTGATGTTCTTTGATGCGTATTCTCAGTTGTCTCTTGGTTTGTCCAACGTAAGAGGCATCACAATCAAGACAATCAATTTTGTAAACCACGTTAGATTTAAACTCCTTAGATAAAGAGTCCTTATGCACTTTTATAAAACGATTTAATTTATTAATGATAAGGAAAGCTAAATTTTTTTCCAATTGATGTGACAGAGGTGTAAATTCAGGGGAAATATTTTTGACAAACGGGATTACGAAATAGGATGGGGGGGAGGAGGGGGCGGGAAGTGAGGAAGGATGGGTTGGAGGAGAAGAGGGGGGAGAGGTGACAGGATTTTGAGTAGACAAAATGAAACTACGGATTCTGTTATTAATGGTATTGAATATGAAATTAAGAGGGTAGCTGTTGTCAATTAAAGTTTTAATGACGATGTGAAAATTTTTTTCCTGGAAGAGTGGATGAGAAATACGGAGCACTTTGTCAGTTAAACCTACAATAATACCTTTTTTATGAGCAATGGGATGGTGTGAGTTGAAATTTAAAAAACATCCTGAGAAAGTAGGTTTTCTGTACCAGTCAGTCATAATTCGATTGTCATGAACGATAAGGAGAACGTCAAGAAAACTCAGAGATCTATCATGCTCCAACTCAATGGTAAATTGGATTCTATGGTGGAAAGAATTAAAGATCTTTTGGATGTCAGTAATGAGTGCGGGAGGAGCAGCTGAGACAATATCATCCACATATCGATAGTAGAATGGAATACTGAATGGTAACAATTTAAGAGCTTTTTCTTCCAAATCGCTCATGACAATGTCTGCCAAGATCGGGGACAGAGGGGAGCCCATTGGTGTGCCGAAAGTTTGTTTGTAAAAAATATTGTCAAAAGTGAAAAAGGTGGAATTCATGACTAATTTAATGCCTCTAATGAACTCCTGAAAGGGGAGAGAACAACCTTTCTTAATACAATGCCATCTTCTCGCTAGCCCGCCCACCGCTAGATCTAGGGGGATGTTCGTGAACAGAGAAACCACGTCTAGTGAGAAAAGGCTTAAATTCTCGTCAAAAGGTAGATTCTGTAATTGTTTAACAAGGTGTAAGCTATTTGTGACATGGCTAGGAGGATTGGGAATATTATTGTAAATGAGATTATGTAAAAATAAGGCAAAGGAATGTAAAGGGCTGCCGATGGAAGAGACGATGATTCTGAGAGGAAAATTCAGTTTATGTATTTTCGGCAATCCATATGCTCGTGGAAGAGTCTCAGTATTAATTCTGAGAGACTTAGCTTTGATCTTAGTTATGTAATTTTTATCACTCCATTCCTTCAGTAAAGTTTTTAAATTATTGTTTAGACTATTTAACGGATTCTTATTGATAATTTGGTATGTATTCGAATCATGTAATAATTCCAGCATTTTATTTTTATACTGAGATTGGTCAAGACAGACTGTAACATTGCCCTTGTCGGCTTTCGTGAAAAGTAAGTTTGGATGGTCAGCCAAAAATTTTTTTGTTATGGTAATCTTATTCAGAATTACTTTATCTAAATCCGAAGGAGCCGAACTCGAGCTGAGAAATTTTTCCATAATCTGTATGGAATGGTTACGAACATCCATGGCCGTATCGGGATGCACATTACAGAGATTTTTTTCCACGTTTTTAATAAATTCGTGAACTATTTTGTGCGTTTGCGATGCTGTGAAAGGCAGACTGAACTTTTCACCAAGCTGCAGTAAAGATATGACATCGTCAGGAATAGAGGTAGAGGATAAATTTTTGAACCAATTAGGTTTTAAAGTAAAGAAATTTTTTTCCGGAATGGAGGAGGAGGTGAGAGGCGAGAAATTCAAGGGGTTGAGGGTAACACAATGCGAATCATGAGTTGAGGGTGAAGGGATAGGATGACACGAGTATTTTGGAAGGAAAGAGTGAGACAGAGGGGTAACAGCCGACCGGAGTTTTGAGCAATAGTGAGAGCGTTTTTCATTAGGAATTGAAACATAATAACTAATTGTACTAATGTTGCTTAGAACTGTCTCATCATGTTTCTTACACAGCCAATCAAATATGCTTATCATAATACTATTTTGTTTATGCTGAAAAAATCTAAAAAAACGTGATTGACAAATGAAAAAATTAGACAGTAATTTGCGTGGAAAAAAATTTTCTAATTTGTAATGTAAAGGTAATCTGATGTTGTGTAGCGAGGTCAATCTGCGATGTAAATCTCTAATTTCAAGATCCAGAGACTTAAAAAGGAAAGCAGACGTGACCTTGCTATGTGAGATTCTGATTTTATTGTTGAAAAAAGTGAATGATGTGTTAATTTTGTTGTCGCGTAAATGAGCCGGTAGAAGTTTATATTGTTTGCACCTTTTCAGAAACCATAACTGAGACTTGCAGATGATAATATTCTTGGACACATTAGTCCAACTCTTCAATAGTCGTTTACCCTCCATGCCAAAATGATATTGTCAAGCAAGCCTTTTCTCACTAGACGTGGTTTCTCTGTTCACGAACATCCCCCTAGATCTAGCGGTGGGCGGGCTAGCGAGAAGATGGCATTGTATTAAGAAAGGTTGTTCTCTCCCCTTTCAGGAGTTCATTAGAGGCATTAAATTAGTCATGAATTCCACCTTTTTCACTTTTGACAATATTTTTTACAAACAAACTTTCGGCACACCAATGGGCTCCCCTCTGTCCCCGATCTTGGCAGACATTGTCATGAGCGATTTGGAAGAAAAAGCTCTTAAATTGTTACCATTCAGTATTCCATTCTACTATCGATATGTGGATGATATTGTCTCAGCTGCTCCTCCCGCACTCATTACTGACATCCAAAAGATCTTTAATTCTTTCCACCATAGAATCCAATTTACCATTGAGTTGGAGCATGATAGATCTCTGAGTTTTCTTGACGTTCTCCTTATCGTTCATGACAATCGAATTATGACTGACTGGTACAGAAAACCTACTTTCTCAGGATGTTTTTTAAATTTCAACTCACACCATCCCATTGCTCATAAAAAGGTATTATTGTAGGTTTAACTGACAAAGTGCTCCGTATTTCTCATCCACTCTTCCAGGAAAAAAATTTTCACATCGTCATTAAAACTTTAATTGACAACAGCTACCCTCTTAATTTCATATTCAGTACCATTAATAACAGAATCCGTAGTTTCATTTTGTCTACTCAAAATCCTGTCACCTCTCCCCCCTCTTCTCCTCCAACCCATCCTTCCTCACTTCCCGCCCCCTCCTCCCCCCCATCCTATTTCGTAATCCCGTTTGTCAAAAATATTTCCCCTGAATTTACACCTCTGTCACATCAATTGGAAAAAAATTTAGCTTTCCTTATCATTAATAAATTAAATCGTTTTATAAAAGTGCATAAGGACTCTTTATCTAAGGAGTTTAAATCTAACGTGGTTTACAAAATTGATTGTCTTGATTGTGATGCCTCTTACGTTGGACAAACCAAGAGACAACTGAGAATACGCATCAAAGAACATCAATCGAACATTGACAATCCCTCGGCTAATTTAACTGTAGTGTCTGAACACAGATTATTTGGGCATGAATTTGACTGGCAGAATGTCTCTATATTGGATAATGAGCCACATTATATTAAGAGACTAATTTCAGAAACATTACATATTAAAGAACAAGCCCACAGTATTAACGTTAAGGACGACATCGATAAATTGAATAAATCTTACTTTCCCATCCTTAAAAGAATCAATGCTTTTTCCCTTTCATAATTAACTTAATTTAATTTTGTATTTCTTTTCCTCTATACGGTTCCTTTACCCACCCCTCCTCTCCCCGCTTCCCCGTTCCCTCGGTCTCCCACCCACTTCCACCCGCGTTCACTCTACCCACCCCTTACCAACAGCCAGCTGTGAGATCTCGGCACGCACGTCTCATTACGTTGCGAACTTGCGATCTATCGACACGCTTTATTTCGACTCTCCGCATTTCTTCTGCTTTCCATATCAGCTTTTATTAATAATCTTGGTGAGCGCTATAACTATTTTTCTTGTCTCTATCTATCTTTTCTAATCTTTTTGCGAGATCATAACCATTTTAATACTTTAATAATATTTTTCACTTTATTATTTCGATTATAATCTTTTGTTTGAATATTGTCAATCTTTTATAACTGGTTTTTTCTAGCTCTATTTTTCAAAATTCGTTGACTATCTACTCATAACATAATTTATTTCCATGTGTAACTGTATATCATGCTTTTTGTATGTTTCTTTTAATCTTTTAAATTTTTTACCACTTCTGTGGTTATATGTGCGAGACTTGTTGCTCCTTCTGGTTTATAATTATTACAGATCACCTACGAGGTTTACCAGGTTTACACTATATAATATTCTTATTACATCGGAAGACGAGATCTCCTGGGTTTTTCCTTGTTTTCGTTTCGTGGAACGGTCTTTTCTTATATACATTCCAACAACGAAGGTGAGCATCATTTCTACACATGTACGCAGAACTGTTACAATTCTTAGAGCCCTGTAATATGTTTCATACTAGCGTTTTCTGTATAACAATTCTTCAATTTGCGACATTTATTATTTATTATTATTATTTTTTGAGCGTTTTTGTCTACAAACGAATTATATATTTTTATACATACAACCTTCTCTCTATTATGAATTTTGCGAGCGCCTTATCTGCATGCGTACGCAGATTTTTGATTTCGTCGGTTTTACCTCACACTTGCGATTTTATATATTAATTTGTATGTCTCCGACTACGATTCTAATCAACTTTGTCGTTTATCGTCATCTCTCATTTTACTGTTTTCACTGAAGAAAGCCCGATATGGGCAGAAACGTTTGTTAATAAATTCTCACTTAATACATACGCTAATTTGGTGACATTTTCCATCCTTGCCATAATGACGTATAGGTGATATTTTGAGTTTGTCGCCACACGACACGCGATTCTGGCTCACTGACCCGTAACATTTTTGGTTTTTAATTTTTAATTAGTTTGATAATACAAGTTTTATATGTACGAGGTGTGTTCAAAAAAAAGGTGACTTTTTATTTTTCTCGAAAAATATTTATTTATTCATCAATATCTATTTTATCCCCTTCAAAGTAATCCCCCTCAGATATTATACACTTGTACCAGCGCTTTTTCCAATCCTCGAAGCACTTTTGATATGCGCTTTTTGGTATGGTCTCGAGCTCTTCCAGCGATGCGGTCTTTATCTCCTCAATCGTGGCAAATCTCCGTCCTTTCATGGGTCTTTTCAGTTTTGGGAACAAGAAAAAGTCGCAGGGGGCCAAGTCCGGTGAATACGGTGGCTGAGGCATGGTTACGGTGTTGACTTTGGCCAAAAAATCACGAACAAGCAACGACGTGTGAGCTGGCGCATTATCGTGGTGCAATATCCATGACTGGTTCTTCCACAATTCCGGGCGTTTTTTTCGTATTGCTTCACGTAAACGGCGCATAACTTCAAGGTAATATTCCTTATTGACCGTACGACCGCATGGCAAGAACTTACGATGCACCACGCCATTGTAATCGAAGAAAACAATGAGCAAAACTTTCACATTTGACCTAACTTGACGAGCTTTTTTCGGTCTTGGCCGCTTCCATTGGGATGATTGGGCTTTGGTTTCGACGTCATAGCCATATACCCATGATTCGTCACCAGTTATGACCCTTTTGAGCAGATCTGGATCGTCGTTGACGGCATTCAACAACTCCTGAGCAATGTCTACGCGACGTTGTTTTTGATCGAAATTCAGCAATTTCGGAACAAACTTCGCCGCCATACGTTGCATGCCCAAAACTCCCGAAAAAATTGCATAGCATGAGCCAATCGATATGCCGACATTCTCAGCAACTTCTCTAATAGTGATTCGACGATTCTTCATAACAATTTTCTTCACTGCTTCGACGTTGTCATCGCTTGTTGACGTGCTGGGGCATCTAGGGCGGGCATCGTCATTAACATCTTCTCGACCTTCTGTGAAGAGCTTGTACCACTTGTAAAGATTTTTTTTTGCTCAGAGTAGATTCGCCAAATGCCGCAGTCAACATTTCAAGTACGTCAGAGCACTTAATTTTATTTTTCACACAAAAATTAATACAGATTCTTTGATCCATTTTTTTCGATAGCAAAAAATCGCAAAGCACACAAAAACACGTCTAACCCTTATATCTGCGAAAAATCAAACATGCAAAACAGCTGATAATATCAACATATGTTGGGGACATGTGTATCAACATAACAAAAAAAAAATTCGAAAATCGAATGTACATAGTCCGCGAAATTTGAAAAGTCACCTTTTTTTAAACACACCTCGTATATTTAACTAAATTTATGCCACTTATATCGTGTTTGATTTTATTTTAATCGTAATATTCTCATTATTCTATTAAAATTACTTTCAAATGCATTTTCTGACATGAGACTTTATTTATAATATTCAGGAATATATGTGAATATCTCATTCGCTCTTATTATTATTTCGCTCGTTCTTATTACCTCGCTTCCTCATGTAACTTTTGCATTACTTTTATACATACACTAGAACAATACAGGCGTGCGCTACGCGCGCGCTATTTATTTCTTCCATTCATACTGCATATATATATATATATTGTGACGTGGCCGTCACGTCGCGTACATCCGCCCCGGCAATCTTGACGGGACGCGGGCCGAGTGGCCGCGTCAAGGGTCAAGAGAGAGAGAGAACTATCGCGCTCCCCGGAGAGACGAGTGAATCCGTGTTATATTGCGTGTAATACTAATTTTTCTGCTGTCTTTTTATTTTGTATCGAGTCGGCTGGAGGCGCCTCACCATCGAACACCGAAGAACAGGGGAGAGCATCATCGCCTCCCCGCGACAGCTAAGAACGACAGCCGAGGGAAACTCATAAGAGCCGAGGATCCTGGCCCAGAGAGCCCTGCATCATGAACCCGGGCAGGGGAGAGCCGCATCGCCTCTCCACGACTGCCGGAAGCGACGGCCGTTGCGACAGCCATCCTCCAGGGGAGGATACGTCCGTGAAGGACCTCACCCGGGCCATATAAGGGCCCGCGACGGCATTCAAGCTTGGCGCTATTTCACGCAGGGCGCGAAGATGCCTCGCGTGGCGCGCAAGGCGCCAGGACCTCGCGCGTGTCGGCCGCTAATTGGCCGGGGGCCCGCGCATCCCCCTGCGCGGCCAGCGACCCCGCTATCGACCCTGGATCGCGAGATCCAGGGATCACTTTGTCGCGGCCGCTCGACTGAGATAGTCAAAAAGTAATCTGCGTATTATCGTGTGAGTGGGCTCGAGGACGAGACAAAAACTTGGAGGACGAGACCGAGGATCATCCCCGCAGCAGGAGGAGCTCCGTCGGTGAGGTTGCCCACGTAACTTTGTACTCCGCGAGCGTGATTGTGTCCGCTCGCCGGCCGTTCTGTCGCCGTCGCCATTACGGCTTATCGCGACCGCTCGAGCCTTCTGCCGAGTCGGTCGATTTTGGTGTATTTCGGGCGACCGGAGACAAGCGACCGAGAAAGCGCGGACACTAGTGACGGAAGTGCGTATCGTAGGGTAATTCGCGTCTCTCTCCGGGTATCAGGGTGCGTAATACGCGTAGCATTCGACCGTTGGGTATCGACCGCGTGCGTCGTAAATCGCGAGCAATGCGTAGTTCGCACGGGCTGTCGTTTGGTTGTCGAAGCCGCGTCTCGCACCTCTGAAAAGTGTCTCAGAGCGAGTCTGTGGAACGTAATTGGTCGTGATTAATGAGTTTTCGTGTCGTCTCATTGTCGTTCGTGAAATTGCGTGAAACTGCGTACTATCGTCGCGTCCATTGTGTGCGTGTGAATCGTTCGTCTCGAAAAGAGAAACGTAATTCCTCCAAATTGTCGCGGTGTGCGGGTATCGCACGATTCTAAGTATCGATATCG